ATAACATTTTCAGTTGTTCCCTTGGGGTGTCTATACTAAAAATTGCATGAAACAGTGTTTCTTGTTTGCGAGTTATAAGATCTCGACTGCAGCGTCCCAGACTTGGACATTAAAATATTGAATTCTCTAGGTGTATTTGTGTTTTGTGAATTTGTTTTGTGATTTGGAGACGTCTACAATACATTGTTTTCAGCAAACGGCATCGCTTCTTATGCATTACACGTCCTCAACTATGATAGCGCTAGATGCATGCTATTCTACAATTTCTGTTATGGCGCCTTTCAACAAGAGAGGAAAACACAAACGCAACTTCCAACGCAATCTCGACGGCTCCTTTTACAGATTGAGAGCCAACCAAAATCTAACTAATCGGCCTCCCCCTGAAGAGAACCCGGCGTTTCGACCGCAGAGTGGCAATGGTTTATTTTGAGGAAGGCAAGCACAAAGAGGGCGAGGTGGGGAGACATTTGAGGTTGAGCGCCTTTTTGCAAAACGATGGGTCCACACTCTTGAATTCTACTTAGTGCAGTGGGTAAACCATCGAGAACTAACGTGGGAACCAGCTAGAAACTTACCTTGGCAACTAAAAATGGATTTTGAGCGAGAAACAATCAACTTCGTGTGGCTATACCAAGCTACCCGCGGACGACGCCGTCGAACGCCCCCTGCTACCCGACGAAGCTCCAGAACTGTTGTAAGAACGTAGGAAGATATTTAAGTTCGTACGCGAACTTAATACATACTGTTTCCAGTACTATGAGTTCACTGTTTGGATTCGCAAGAAAACAGTACAAAGAACTGTTTTCTGGAAATTCCTCTCTTGGTCTAATGTTTGACGGCTGACCCCACGAATCTATGCATTTCATCGGGCTGTACGGTGTGTACGAGGTGGCGCGGACTTGGTGTGAGCGATTGTTCTCTCTCTCTCTCTCTCTCTCTCCTCTAGACAGTCAGACCGCCGAGACGCACGTTACGAAGGTTTGGTCGGTCCTAGATCTGTACAACAAGACGACCGGCATTGTGGCGGCTTGGTGGAGAACAACTGCAGCACTGACCAGAAGATTGCTACGCTCTTTGCGTTCTTATGCTTGGCTGCGCCAGCCACAGGTTCAACCTGGTGGTCAACCGCTTCCTCGCCGACTACGAGACCGAGCTTGTCGCTGTCAACAATTTGATGATCCAGTTGAGGCACTGCAACAACGTCGCCATCCTCGCGAAGTTCACGGACCTCCAACCTATCAAACGGAATGCAACTCGCTGGTTGTCAACCTACGATATGGTCGCCCGCTATGCACAAATTCGTGATGCTATTCGGTAAGTTGAGGCTCTTGACAACTATCTACCGAGTAGTATGGTCCACAAAAATTGGTCGCGCTGCTCACCGACCTCGAAAAACTCGACACCGTGTGCAAAGCTCTTCAGCACAAGACCACCACAGCCCCTGATGTGCGTCTTCAATTTGACAGCGTGGTGACGGATTACCCGATCATGGCTGAGCATCTCCGCCCCTCCGCTGGGAGTGTCAACTGTCCTCTCTTCCAGTCTGCGCTCGTGAATATCGGCAACGGCGACACCCTGACGACAGCTGAAGCACGCGCACTCAAGTGTTTTGAGGTGACCAGCGACAGCGATGGAGGACGTGTCGATGGCGACCAAGTGAATGCCAAGAGGATGAAGCAGACGCGCTGCGATTACGCCGTCGCCATCTTGCGCGAAGGCAAAAGGCGCCGAGTGTCGACGCGGACCAACGTCAGTTACAGAGCGCTGGCCAAGCTAGCGCCGCCGACCTCGAACACGGTCGAGCGTCTGTTGTCGACGTGCAAGCTAATCATGACGCCCCAGCGCATCTGCATGCAGCCGGCGAACTTTGAAATGATCGCGTTCTTGCGCGCGAATCGAGAAATGAGGAATGTGACGACGCTCATTGGGCAAAACGAGTAGGTGGCACGTTCATGTGCCGACGGCATGCAATACATTGATACTGGCCCAGGTGTTTATTATTGACGTCACCTGCTATTGCACTTATTACTACTACTTTTGTTTACCTCCAGTTCCTTTATATACTGTATTGTCCGAGGCTTGGTTCGCCACAATGACGAACGGTGCAGGGAAGGTTCCGGGTTCCGGACGACGATGTGGCCATTCAACTAGAGAGGCGAGAGCTCTGCGCCTTGATCACCGGAGGGATCTTGAAGACGTCTCCAGTGATAGCACCGATGATGGAGAAAACTAATTCTGTTTCTGTCGGAGCAGAACATTGGGGAATGAAACGACTATTGAATAAATTGATTTTTGTCAACGAGTTAACTCGTTTTTGTGTATTCCTATTTTTTCAAAAAAAATAAGACACAAAATATAAGGGTTACCCTTTCAGCACCGATTATTTGATGCGGGTCATTTGGCACCTGTACCAGTAGCCGATAAAAGCCTCTTCTTAGGTCAAGAAGATCAAATCAAAATTAGCAAACTTAGTGACGTGGAGAATTCATATTCTGCATTATTTGTAAAAAAAA